CCCCAAAACCCCAAAACCCCAAAACCCCAAAACCCCAGATTTTTATGAACATTTATTAAATTTTAACCAAATGAATGAATTTTTGAATAATGAAGACTTGTTGTATTCAAGTCCGAAGCATAAAGAACCTGTTCTTAAGAATAAGTTCTTAAGGAACATAGACTTTTCATCAGACAAGTCTATAATCAGAAGAAAAACCCAAAGGTTTTACTCAAGATAATCTCATAGGCCCAGAATGAGCACATCTTTGAATTCAAGAAATTGTGACAGGTGTGTGCTTCCCTTAATGATATAGGCTAGGTAGGTCTCCAGCTGCTGATCGTAGTTCACCATATTAAGAAATGGAACCAGCTTAGAGAAAGTACCAATATTGGCAACAAAAAATTCACGGTTTCCAAGTTTGCCAATAAGAGCAGGTAATGTAGCAGGTGGAATAATCTAGAGCAACTAATAATAGAACAGCCAGTATTAATAGTATACTTTTGGAAAGAAATTTAGATTGATCTATTACTACCAAAGATTGAGTATAAAACACACTAAAAGATTAAAATCGGTAAAGAGTATATTCAGTGATGATTCTGAAACTATTCCAGTAGAGAAGAAGCTCTTAAATATGATTCATTCCAAATATGTCAGTCCAAGATCGAGGAAGCACGACCCCTCATTTGAAAGTGTATTTTCCCATCCTATTAATGATCCAAAGCTGTCTTGTATCATGCATGAGATTAGTACTTTTGATTCGAAGTTACAAAAATGAAGAAAAACTAAAAATGTAAACCAAACTAGAGGTCGAAGGATCAAATTGCATAGCCAAAATGTTAAATTATTCGAAACTATTAGACCTTTGAAGTCTAATCCAATCACCTAAAAAAACAAATACTCAAAATTTTATGACTAAAATTCCTTCAAGAGGATTTCAAACTTCATGGAATTTCAGTCCAAAAACAAACAAAAACATGATCCCAAAATATCACCCTACTATTCAAACCCATCTTAAAAAACCAATAAAATCACTCAACGCTACATCAGATCCCTCTAAAATCAAATTTAACCCTATTTCTCCCAAAAGTCCCTCCAATACCTCCCAAAACTATCAAAAACTCATCAATAAGGTCTCTGGAAACAGTAAAAAACGTGAAATCTCTAACAGAATCACGAAGGCCATTACTCAAATTACTCATGTTAAAATATTCGATTAATTCCAACATTCCTTCTCAAATCCGGGGTTTTGGGGTTTTGGGGTTTTGGGGTTTTGGGGTTTTGGGGTTTTGGGGTTTTGGGG